TGGCGGATACGCATGTGCGGGCCGCCACTGGGGCCTCCAGTGGAGCTCCCTATGGGTCCCCGAAACATGATGCTGCGGCGGGGGGGGGGCCAGGATGGGTGGCGGAGACGCACGTAAGCGCCGCTACTGGGGCCTTCGGTGGAGCTACCTATGGGGCCACGAAGCGCGTGAGGGGTGTACTGGGATGTGTGGCGGGACGCATGTGAGCGCCGCCACTGGGGCCTTCGGTGCAGCTCTCTATGGGGCCACGAAACGTGTGAGGGGACTGCCGAATTGGGTGCGGGTGGTGACGCATGCGGGCGGTGCCACTGGGGCCTTCGGTGGAGCTCCCTATGGCGCCACGAAGCCTGTTGTTGTGAGGGGCGTGCCGGGACGGGTGGCGGGGACGCATGTGTGCGCGGCCGCTGGGGCCTTCGGTGGAGCTCCCTATGGGGCCACGAAACGTGTGAGGGGTGTGCCGAATTGGGTGGGTGTGGGTGACGCATGTGAGCGCCGCCACTGGGGCCTCCGGTGGATGATGGGGCCACGAAACCTGTCAGGGATGTGCCGAAATGGGTGTGCGGGACGCATGCGCATGTGAGCGCGGGCACTGGGGCCTTCGGTGGAGCTCCCTATGGGGCCACGAAACGTATGAGTGGTGTGCCGAAGTGGGTGTGGGTGACGCATGCGGGCGCGGGCACTGGGGCCTTCGGTGGAGCTCCCTATGGGGCCACGAAACGTGTGAGAGGTGTGCCGAAATGGGTGTGGGTGACGCATGTGGGCGCGGGCACTGCGGCCTTCGGTGGAGCTCCCTATGGAGCCACGAAGCGTGTGAGGGGTGTGCCGAAATGGGTGTGGCTGACGCATGCGGGCGCGGGCACTGGGGCCTTCGGTGGAGCTCCCTATGCAGCCACGAAACGTGTGAGGGGTGTGCCGAAATGGGTGTGGGTGACGCATGCGGGCGCGGGTACTGGGGCCTTTCTTCGGTGGAGCTCCCTATGGAGCCACGAAGCGTGTGAGGGGTGTGCCGAAATGGGTGTGGGTGACGCATGCGGGCGCGGGCACTGGGGCCTTCGGTGGAGCTCCCTATGGAGCCACGAAACGTGTGAGGGGTGTGCCGAAATGGGGGTGGGTGACGCATGCGGGCGCGGGCACTGGGGCCTTCGGCGGAGCTCCCTATGGAGCCACGAAACGTGTGAGGGGTGTGCCGAAATGGGTGTGGGTGACGCATGCGGGCGCGGGCACTGGGGCCTTCGGTGGAGCTCCCTATGGAGCCACGAAACGTGTGAGGGGTGTGCCGAAAATGGTGTGGCTGACGCATGCGGGCGCGGGCACTTGGGGCTCTCGGTGGAGCTACCTATTGAGCCACGAAAACGGTGGAGGGGGTGCCCGAAATGGGGTGGTGGGTGACGCCATGCGGGCGCGGGGCACTGGGGGCCTTCGGTGGGAGATCCCCGAAGGGAGGACACGAAAACGTGTGAGGGGTGTGCCGAAGTGGGTGTGGGTGACGATGCGGGCGCGGGCACTGGGGCCTTCGGTGGAGCTCCCTATGGAGCCACGAAACGTGTGAGGGGTGTGCCGACATGGGTGTGGGTGACGCATGCGGGCGCGGGCACTGGGGCCTTCGGTGGAGCTCCCTATGGAGCCACGAAACGTGTGAGGGGTGTGCCGAAATGGGTGTGGGTGACGCATGCGGGCGCGGGCACTGGGGCCTTCGGTGGAGGTCCCTATGGAGCCACGAAACGGTGTACTGGGTGGGTGAAGATGAGAGGAGGAGAGGAGGGGAGGAGAGGAGGACAGGAGAGGAGGCGGAGGAGGAGAGGAGGAAGGAGACGCGGGGCACCGTCTCTTCAAAACGAGGACCCAACACCACAGGATGGTTGGGAAAAAATTAGCCTGACGAAGGACCCAACCATGTGCAGGTGTGAATACCGCAGTTGGCACTACCAATTTCGGTGGGGCTCTCTATAAGGCCAAGAAACGTGTGAAGGGGATGGGCGTGCAGGACGCATGCGGGCGGCAGCACTGGGGCCTTCGGTGGAGCTCCCTATGGAGCCACGAAACGTGTGAGGGAGTTGACGAAATGGGTGTGGCTGACGCATGCGGGCGCGGGCACTGGGGCCTTCGGTGGAGCTCCCTATGGAGCCACGAAACGTGTGAGGGGTGTGCCGAAATAGGTGTGGGTGACGCATGCGGGCGCTGGCACTGGGGCCGTCGGTGGAGCTCCCTATGGGGCCACGAAGCGTGTGAGGGGTGTGCCGAAATGGGTGTGGCTGACGCATGCGGGCGCGGGCATTGGGGCCTTCGGTGGAGCTCCCCATGGGACCACGAAACGTTTGAGGGGTGTGCCGAAATGAGTGTGGCTGACGCATGCGGGCGCGGGCACTGGAGCCTTCGGTGGAGCTCCCTATGGGGCCACGAAACGTGTGAGGGGTGTGCCGAAATGGGTGTGCGGGACGCATGCGGGCACACCCATTGGGACCTTCGGCGGAGCTCCCTATGGGGCCACGGAACGCGTGAGGGGCGTGCCGAAATGGGTGTGGTTGACGCATGCGGGCGCGGGCACTGGGGCCTTCGGCGAAGCTCCCTATGGGGCCACGAAACGTGTGAGGGGTGTGCCGAAATGGGTGTGGCTGACGCATGCGGGCGCGGGCACTGGGGCCTTCGGTGGAGCTCCCCATGGGGCCACGAAGCGTGTGAGGGGTGTGCCGAAATGGGTGTGGCTGGCGCTTGCGGGCGCGGGCACTGGGGCCTTCGGTGGAGCTCCCCATGGAGCCACGAAGCGTGTGAGGGGTGTGCCGACATGGGTGTGGCTGACGCATGCGGGCGCGGGCACTGGGGCCTTCGGTGGAGCTCCCTATGGGGCCACGAACCGTGTGAGGGTTGTGCCGAAATGGGTGTGGCTGACGCACGCGGGCGCGGGCGCTGGGGCCTTCGGTGGAGCTCCCTATGGAGCCACGAACGTTGTGAGGGGTGTGCGGCCGTGGGCGTGGTGACGATGCGGACCGGGCACTGCGGGTTCGGTGGGTCCCTCTGGAGCCAGAAACGTCTGTGAGGGTGTGCGAATTGGGTGTGGAGACGCATGCGGGCGCGGGACTGGGGCCTTCGGTGGAGCCCCCTATGGAGCACGAAACGTGTGAGGGAGTTGACGAAGTGGGTGTGGCTGACGCATGCGGGCGCGGGCACTGGGGCCTTCGGTGGAGCTCCCTATGGAGCCACGAAACGTGTGAGGGGTGTGCCGAAATGGGTGTGGGTGACGCATGCCGGCGCGGGCACTGGGGCCTTCGGTGGAGCTCCCTATGGAGCCACGAAACGTGTGAGGGGTGTGCCGAAATGGGTGTGGGTGACGCATGCGGGCGCGGGCACTGGGGCCTTCGGTGGAGCTCCCTATGGAGCCACGAAGCCAGTGAGGGGTGTGCCGAAATGGGTGTGGGTGACGCATGCGGGCGCGGGCACTGGGGCCTTCGGGGGAGCTCCCTATGGAGCCACGAAACGTGTGAGGGGTGTGCCGACATGGGTGTGGGTGACGCATGCGGGCGCGGGCACTGGGGCCTTCGGTGGAGCTCCCTATGGAGCCACGAAACGTGTGAGTGGTGTGCCGAAATGGGCGTGGGTGACGCATGCGGGCGAGGGCACTGGGGCCTTCGGTGGAGCTCCCTATGGAGCCACGAAACGTGTGAGGGGTGTGCCGAAATGGGTGTGGGGGACGCATGCGGGCGCGGGCACTGGGGCCTTCGGTGGAGCTCCCTATGGAGCCACGAAACGTGTGAGGGGTGTGCCGAATTGGGTGTGGGTGACGCATGCGGGCGCGGGCACTGGGGCCTTCGGTGGAGCTCCTATGGGGCTACGAAACGCTGTACTGGGTGGGTGAAACGCAGGGAAGAGGGGGAGGAGGGAGGAGGAGGGGGAGGAGGAGGAGAGGAGAGGAGAGAAGAGGAGGCGGAGGAGGAGAGGAGGAGGAAGGAGACGCGGGGCACCGTCTCTTCAAAACGAGGACCCAACACCACAGGATGGTTGGGAAAAAGAGGACGACATCGGAGGCCTGGGGAGGGCAGGAAGGCAATGTGCGTGGGACAGCTTGACGCGTTTCCCCCATGGGCACGCTTCCAACATCGCATAGCATCGCATCTCCCATCCTCCGTGTGTGTTGAAAACGGAGCAACGACGTGGAACCCCTTCTCAGGAAGCCTTTCCTCGAAATCTGGAAACGTCCCCCCCCCCCACACATACACACACTCGAACACACAACACACAAATCACATAACACACAAGGCACACAACACACACAACACCCCCCACACACACACACACACACACACACACACACACACACACACACACACACAACACACGCACCACACAAGACACAACACACAACACACAAGACACAGAACACGTACACACAACACAACACAACACACAACACACAGCACACTCAACACACAACACACACGCACACACCACACACACCACACTCACACCACACACAACACACACAACACACACTCAACACACAACACACACACCCACATATCACACATACACACACATACGCACGCACGAAAGCCTCCAAGCGCAGCCAAGGACCCGTGGACAAAAACGGTTCTGTAGCATGGAGGAAGCGGGTCCCGAGGGAAACGGGCCCTGGACCCCGGGGCCTTCCCCCAGGACGAGTTCTTCCTCCCGAGTCGTTTTCTGACAGTCCCATGGGCCCGTGGAGGGCCCTGAGGGCCCGAAAGCGGCGAGAAACCTCAGGACCCTTTTTCCTCAGGTCAAGGGGCCCTGGGACACACAAGTAAATACACGCAAATAATGGGATTCCCACTCTTTGCCTATATTTTTGGGGTTTTTGTCTTCCCCCCCACTTCTCATATTTTCCCACATTTTCCAAGGGATCGACGATTAATTGTGTCTGTGTGTGTGTGTGTGTGTGTTTTTCCCTTCCTGAGCAGGGCCCACTTCCCCCCCCCCGTGGCGAAGCCCGAGGCCCGCAGAACAAAACTGCTCTTCTCGGGCCCCGCCAGGCGTCCCCGCCGTCGCCCCGGAAGCTACCCAGCCGGTGCTCTACGACGCTCACGTACTGCAGCGGCCAGGCCTGCAGACGGGGGCCGGCCGCAGGGGAAGGAGGAGAAGGAGGAGGAGGAGGAGGAGGAGGAGGAGGAGGAGGAGGAGGAGGGAGGGAGGGCGGAGGCCCTCCTGCCTCCCCCTCCCTCCATCCTCCCCCCCCCACTCCCTCCCTCCTCTCTCTCTCCCTCCTCCCTCCCCCCTCCTCCTCCAACCCTCCTTCCTCCATCCCTCCCTCCCTCCCCCCTCCCTCCCTACATCCTCCTCCCTCCCTCCTCCCCCCCCCCTTCCTCCATCCCTCCTGTCACCCCACTTTCGGGGACGCGCAGACATGGATTGGCGATCCATGGAGTCGGCGCGCGGTCGCCAAATCCATGGATCGGGCAAGGTGCCTTCCACAAAATGCGGCTGGTGCCGCCTCGTTCGGCGGCGGAGATCCGCGATTTCCTGTGGAAACGGGACCCGTCGCTAATCCATGCCCCCATAATCCATGTTTGCGATCGCCTGACCCTTTCCTTCCGTGCTCCGTCCCTTTCTCACTCCTGTCCGCCCCCTTCCTCCCGTACTCTCTCCCTCCCTCCCTCCTCCCCCGCACCTTGCGAAGCCGCGCGTCGCATCATCATCCCCCCCCTTCCTCCCGTTCTGCCTCCCTCCTCCTTTTTTCCTCCCACCCTTCCTCCCGTACTCACCGGGTCCTCCCTCCCCCTCCCTTCCTCCCATTCTCCCCGCCCCTGGGGCGGGGAGTGCGGCTGGAGGAAGGGGGGGGGCAGTGAGGGAGGAGCGGGGAGAGAGGGGCGGGGAGGGAGTGGGGGAGGAGAGGCGGGTGAACAGGGGGAAGGGAAGGAGGGAAGAGGAGCAAGGGGGAACGAGGCGGGGAAAGGGGCGGGGCGTCCTCGCCATCGTCCTCGTCCTCGTCCTCGCCCTCCTCCTCTTCCTCCTCTTTCATTATTTTCGCGAGGCCTGAATCATGGTGATGGTGATGATGGCCGGCTGGTAATGGCATTAGTGATGGCCATCGCTCCGTGGACAACCTCGTCCAGAGCGATAGCCTCGGCAGTGAAGGAAGAAATCGGCTCTTGAAGCAAACTGCCCCCTAACATCATCGGTGCGTTGACTGTGTAGGCCTCCTTCCGAACGACCGATTCGATGCACCATGCCGCCGCCGAGCATGCCCCTGCCCGGCGTGCCACCGTCCGTGTCGACCAAGGGATTGGCCATCGCAGGGTCCCCGATTGATCTGTCGCTGGCGTGAGCGCTCGTCCCTCGTGCAATTGGCCAGGCGGTCTGCTCTGACGTTCCGTGCCCCTTGCTGCCTTGCAGTCATGGCGTCTGTGTCACGCGCTGGGCGCCAGCCAGATTGCAACATCTTAGGAAGTGATGCGCTTGAGCAGGGGGGCAATACGATAGTCTGTAAACACGCTCCTTCCCCAAAGACTACGCCGGCAAGAGGCTTGCAATCCGTGAAGAAAAAACAACCCGCCGTGCCGATCCTTCCCACAATACGTCTAGTTCCTCCTCCCCATCCTCCTCCTCGTCCACCTTCCTTCCAACTCCTCCTGTTGCTCCTCCTGCTTTCACTCTCCGCACTGCGCCAGCGTTGGATGCTAGACCCGTCGCACCCGCTCCTCCGCCTCCTCCTCTTTCTCCTCCTCCTCTTCCTCCTCCTCCTCCTCATCCTCTCGGCTAGGCGTAAGAGTGACCCTGGGCAAGAGTGCCCTTTGGTGCGCAGCTTTTGGGGGCGCGAGGGAGCCAAACCCAAGAGCGCGGGCCGCTTATATCGCATGCCCGATGAGCCCGCACCAAAGGTCACTCCGGCGAAAGGTCACTCATACGTGTAGTCGATTCTCCTCCTTTCCCTTGCCCTCCTCCTCTTCCTCTCCGGGCCTCCCTCGCCCTGCTCCCTGCCCTTCTCTTCCTTCATCCTTCTCCTCTTCCCCTCCTCCCACCTCCAGCCCCCCGCCTCTTCCTTTCTCATGTCTCCCCCTCCTCCATCCCTCCCTCCCAAGAAGTGTTGGTCGGGAGGGCTGGGAGTTTCGGCTGAGACTTACTCACCGCTGATGATCCTGAAGCTTGGAATCTGCAGCAGTTTCACGATTGGAAAGCTGGCCGTCTCCAATATGTGTTCTCGTTTAGCGCCATGAAAATTCGCCTCCAAAGTTTGCCACAGGTTCAAGGATGGAGGCCGGGTGGTCTTCAAAATGCAGCTCTCGCTTTAACGCCGCGCATATGAAGCTCAACAGTTTGCAACAGCGCCACGGATGGAGGGCTGGCCAATTTCAAAATGTGGCTCTCGCCTTCCCGCCGCGCAGATTCGTCTTAAACGGTTGCAGCAGTTGCACGGGTGGAAGACAATTCCTTTTCAACATGTGGCTCTCGTCCTGGCGCCGCGCACAATCGTCCTAACATATTACAACCGTTTCACGGGGTCGTATGGTTGAATTCCCAAGTGTTCTGACAAGATTTGGATAGACGCGGCAGTTGATTCGATGTGATGAAGTCCCAGGAATGGTGCTCTGGCACGATTTCAGATTGTCATGACGCAGCGGTCACGTTGATTCGCAGCGCTGGAGTCCCAGGAATTGCGTTTTGGCACGTTTGGGGATTCTCTGGTGGTTGTCTTCAACAGGGCACTTCCCGCAGTGAAAACAATTTCTGCAGTGACAAACGAAGAGGGAACTTGGAGGGAGGGTCTATTGCACCGCGGCGTCGTTAACGCGTCTCAGGTTTACACTGCTCCTCCTCCTCCTCCTCCTCCTGCTGCAGCGTCCCTCCTCCTCCTCCTCCTTCCGCGTCCCTCCTCCTCCAACTCCCTCCGCGTCCCTCCCCCCCCCGCCCGTCGCCTCTGACAGCATCTCGAGCATCTGGGCCCACGCTGGGTCGATGAACAGCTGGACGACGCCTGGCAGCTCGTAGCCCCCACCGCGGGCCACGGCGCTCGCGGCGAAGAAGCTCAGGAAGTCCTTGGCCAGGAACTGCATCTCCTCGCGGGCACGGGCAGTTGACGGTGCAGCAGAGCTGCTGGACGAGGGGGAGGAGGGACGAGGGAGGGAGGAGGGGGGTGGGAGGGGGGAGGGGAGAGGAAGGCCTCCCAACTGAGCTCCGAGTAGACGTGGTCGGAAGATCGCGCCGTCGGCGTGGAGCACATCAGGCTCCACATCGAGCCGCATCGGCAATGCATCGGCGACCCCATCTGCGCGGACCCCATTCGGGGGGCCTTCCGAGAAGGGAAAAGAAGGGGAAGGGGGACGGAGGAGGGAGGAGGGAGGGAGGAGGGAGGAGGCGATCTCTTTTCCGAAGGCCGCCCGCACCCAGTGCATGAAGAGCAGCCCAGAGGTGATGAACATGACGAGGAGGTCGAGGAGGAGAAGGAGGAGGAGGAGGCGCCATGCCAGGAGGGGGAGGAGGAGGGCAAGCGTCGGATGTGGAGACGGAGTTGGAGAAGGAGAAGAAAGAGGATGAGGAGAGAGGAGGAAGAGCAGGAGGAGGAAAACCAGTATAAATCCAAAACCCATCCATGAAAGAAAAACCTCCCGTCAAATTCCCTCTTCACATGCCCCTACAAGGATACACTGTCACTGGGGGAAATGCCCCGTTGGAAGACAACCGTTTGAAAATCCGGAGCTGTGCCAGAACACCATTCCTGGGAATTCAACGCCGCGAGTCACAACTGCAATTGCGTCTTGACGATCCGGAATGGTGCCATAACACAATTCCTGGGCTTTCAACACCGCGATTCTCAGTGACTGCTGCGCCCTGACATCCCGACATTGTGCCAGAACGCCAGCTCTGGGACGTCAACCATGAGAATCCTAAAACCTGATGCAAGATCTTACAACAAAAAGGTGGGGAAGGAACCCCCTACATCCGTGAAACCATTGCAAGCTTTGAAACCGAATGTGAGCAGCGCCACGTCGAGAGCTACATCTTGCGAACCGCCCGCCCTCCATCGGTGAAACTGTTGCAAACTGTTGCAACGAATGTGCGCTGCGCTGACGCGAGAATTACAGTTTGAAAACCACCCACCATCCATCCGAGAAAATTCTAAGCTTCGGGATTACAAGTAATGAGGAAGTCTCAAGGGAAACGCCCGGCCCGCCCTTTCGACAGGCAAAGGGGTGCGACAGGGAGGAGCTATTGACAAGGAAAAGGAATGGAGGAGGAGGGAGAAGGAGACGAGGAACAGCAAGAGGAGGAAGACGAGAAAGAGGATGACGAGCGACGACGACGACGACGGAGACGGACGACGGACGACGCACGACCGACGACCGACCGACGACGACGACCACGACGACGACGACCACGACGACCACGACCACGACGACCACGGCGAGCGGCGAGCGGCGGCGGCGGCGGCGGCGCGCCGCCGCACCACCGCGTGGCCGTGGTTGGCGAGCACAGTGCCGCACGCTGGCGCAGCGGTCCATGCCAGCGCCGCGAGGTTTCCCCCCACGGGGCCAGGCCGATGAAGAGTGTGGGGGTCCAAAGGGGCCCGGACTTCGTGGAGCATGTCTGGGAAATCCCTAGAGAAGAAGCCATCCTGGCCCAAGGTGCCTCCACAGCTTTCCGCTCCATGTTGAACATCCCGGGGCCCTCTGGGTTTTGTGAGGGGCGTTCTGCAAGCCATCTGGCCCTCCCTGGAACATCGAGGAGGAGGATGAGGAGGAACCAGGAGGAGGAGGAGGAACCAGGAGGAGGAGGAGGAGGAGGAGGAGGAGGGCAAGCGTTGGGTGTGGAGGAGGACGAAGCGGGCGGGAGGGAAGAAGGACATGAGAAGGAGGGAGGAAGACGAGCAGGAGAAGGATAAGGAGGAATGGAAGAAGGGAGATGAGGAAGATGATAAGGATGAGGGACGAGGGAAGGAGGAGGAGGAGGAGGAGGAGGATATGAGGAGGACCGAGGACGGAGGAGGAAGAGGAGGAGAGGATAAGGAAAACGAGGAGGAGCGGCGAGAAGGAGGAAGGGAGGGAAGGAGGAGGTGGAGGAGAACGTTGAGAAGGGAGGAGGAACGGAGGAGGGATGAAGAGGAGGAGGAGGAAGAGAAGGAGGAGGAAAGACGAGGTAGGAGGGACCTAGATGAGGACGGAAGGAGGGGAGGAGGAGGAGGAGGAGGAGGAGGAGGAGGAGGAGGAAGAGAAGGAAGCGGAGAAGGAGGAGAAGGAGGAGGAGGAGGAAGAGGAGGAGGAGGAAGAGGAAGAAGGGAAATGGAGGGACAAGGGAGACGGGAGGATGGAAGGGGGGTCGCAGCAAGGGATGGGCAGGCGGTCGGCGGTAGCGGGGGGGATGATGATGATGCTGATGATGATGATGAGGAGGATGAGGAGGAGAAGGAGGAGGAGGACGAGGAGGAGGAGGAGGACGAAGTGGGGATGAGGATGACCAGCTCGGAGGAGGGACGAGGGAGGAGAGACGAAGCGAGAGGCCACGTCATTGACCGCACCGTACGCGCACAGTCGATTCCCGATCGATCTTCATGCACGTCGCTTCGCGGGCGCCGCCAGTGACGCGCAGGAGAACGAGAAAGGAACGAGGGAGCAGGGAGGAGGGCGAATGTGGGGGGAGGGGGGAGGGAGACAGAGAAGGGAGGGAAGACAAGGACGGGGGAGGAGTGAGGGAGAGAGGGAAGGAGGGAGAGGAGACGGAGGGAAGATGAATAATTGGTTGACTAGTGTATTGGATTACGGTGTAAAGAAGGTGGAGCTACGCTTGGACCTCCTTTATGGACGTCTCTGTTGGCCGAGGGTCCACGAAAGAGTCCTCGGTCCCCTCCGAAGCCTAAGCGGCAGAAAGTGAAAAGGTGCTGGGGACTCAGACGGCCGCTTGAGCGACGTGGAACCTAATCGGGACCACGGCGCGGGCAGCAGGGATGACCCCGTGTTGGTGGGGCCCCGTTGGCACCGCGCGCACTCACGGAGCGCAGAGAACGAGCGAGAGAGGGAGGAGGGGAGGAGGAGGGCATTCAGGAGGAGGAGGAGGCGGAGGACGAGGAGGACAACGACGAAGAAGAGGAGGACGAGGAGGAGGAGGACAAGGAGGACGAGGAGGAGAGGGCGGATGACGAGGAGTGCACGTCTCCTCGCGGGCGCCGTCGGTCACGCGCAGGAACATGGCGTGGCCGGCCACCACGGCCTTCTTGAGGCCGGGCCACTCGCGCCGCAGCTGGCCGCGCAGCAGCGCCTCCGCCTCGGGGGCGGTGATGCTGTCGAGGCCGCGCAGGGCCATGTGGAGCGCGACGACCTCCACGATCTGCTTCCACCTGTCGGGGGACGTCGGCTGACCGCCGGGAGAGTCTCGGGGTAGCCCTGGGAAACAAGCAGTACCCCCCCTGGCGATTTGTTGTTAGCACCAGAAATATGAACAATTATTTTCGGTGGTGCGCCTTCGGCGATATCGTTAGCACATGCAGTAAACCATCAAGTCAAGAAGTATGTCCGCCGCTCGCCTGGGACCTGGCCAAACGAAGAACTTAGAAATTCCATGACGATGCCCGTGGGAAACCGATCGGAAATTGCCTCTGGGAAACTCTAAAGACCTTCGGGGATCTCCAGAGACCTCTGGTGGAGGAGTGAGAGAAAAGAAGGGCAGAAGGAGGAGAAGGAGGAGGAGGACTCTGTGAATGATATCGCTTCCGCCCCGGCCCAGGGGGCTTTAAGTGTTGCAATTTCCTCTGATGATCGGGGGCGGTACTGACCCAAGCATGAGACGTCTTGAGACCTCCAGGATCTCTGGAAACCGCCGGTGGAGGAGTGCGAGAAAAGAGGAGGAGGAGGAGGAGGAGGAGGAGGAGGAGAAGGAGGAGGGGCGAGGAGGAGAGGAGGACGAGGAGGAGAAGGACGAGGAGGAGGAGGAGGAGGAGGAGGAGGAGGAGGAGGACAGGACGTAGGAGGAGGAGGAGGAGGAGGAGGAGGAGGAGGAGGAGGAGGAGGGGGAGGAGTAGGAGGAGCAGGAGGAGGAGGAGGAGGAGGAGGAGGAGGGCGGAGGTGGAGGGGGCGGAGGCTTCCGGACGACTCCGGGCGGTGCGACGTCCTGATCGTTTCCATGCGCGGTACACGGGAGTCCCGACTCTTTCCCTGGGTCAGTTTTCCGTCGCGCGTCGTTTTTTGACCGTCCCGGGGCCCAGCGAGGGCCCCCAAAGAGACCGAACACGACTGAACAAATCTCCGCCCTTATTTTGTCTCACGGCGCGAGCATGTCTGGGGATTGCTTCCCAGGGTGATGCCATCAATCAGGATCACGAGGACGCGCTGTACGGTCGAATCCAGGCCAGAAGAGCATCCTTCAACATGAGACCCTCCGTCGGCCAAAACAAACAGAACATCCAAAGTACCCTTCCCATGATCCGAAAAAGAAAAAACGCCATACACAGAAACTGTTGGCGTTCCGCGCGGATTTCTTGGATCTGCGCCGGACCCCCCTCCCTGGCGCACGAAGCGCGCCAGCGGGGATCCAAGGACTCCGCGCGGAGCGCCGAAAGTTTCTGTTTATGCAGCTCTTGATAGGTACCCTCCCCGAACCGACCGCGGTCTTACACCTCGGCCCGATGGCAAGGCCGCGAGGGCCTTAGACACCCAGGCTGAGCTCCCGGAGCGGCGCCAGGCGGCGCCGAAGGAAGGGGCCCAGGGGCATACAAATGAATATACAGATCCCAAGATTCGCTCCAAGTCTTGCAAAGGACCCTTTGGTTTCGCCATAGGATCCCAGGATTCCCCGTATTCTTGTTCAGCATCCCACACATGAATATGCACATATCCCAGGATCCACCATATTTTTGCATAGGATGCCCAAGATCCCAGGATTCCCCGACATGTTTTTGCATGTCTTCTGGGTTTTCGTCTTCCCCTCCACTTCCCCTAAGTTCCCTGATGTTCCGGGGGATCGACGATTCCGTGTGTGTGTGTGTGTGTGTGTGTGTGTGTGTGTGTGTGTGTGTGTGTGTGTGTGTGTGTGTGTGTGTCAGTCTGTTTTTTTGTTCTCCCCTTCTGAGCGATGGGGAACGACCGAAGAGGCAAGGATACAGGGCATCCTTTGAAAGTTGCTTGTCCTTCTGCTGCGGATTGGGTGTGCACCAGGTCGTCTGGTCGGCCATGGAGCTCGGCGTATAGACTCCTCAGCTTTCCAAGCTGCGGGGTGCTGGAGCGAGTGTGCACCGAACTCGTTTGCCAAATTCCCTGGCCCCTTGGCGGACCAAACGACGTGGTGTATATTTGCTGCGCGCAGAGGGGGTAGGGGGAGAGGGGAAGGCTTCTTCGAAAAAGGCTGCTTCTTAGAAGTCGACGCCCTTACATCTATAGACAAGACCCGCGCCTTCTAAGAAGCAGTGGTGCTTCTGAGAAGCTGTCCCCCCTCCCCCTACCCCCGTGTACACGTGGAGCCTCTCTCTGCGGGTTGTGGTGGGGGGTGGCCTACATGGGGGGGAAGAGAAGGGCCCTGAAGGGGCCCTTCAGGGCCAGGTTTTGGAGCCACCAGGGGCCCAAACGGGCCCCATGTGGCGCCCTCTGCACCTCCCCCTTCCCGGACCCCCGACGTTGTAATTTGTTCACAACGTCGACCCTCAGAGGTCTGGACCCTTTCCACGGGACCGGCGTTTCATCCTGAGCCGTTCTTGGACGGCCCCGAGGCCCGGGGAGGGCCCCTGGAAGCCGAAAGTAGCGTTAAGTCGGGCGTGTCCCCCTACAGGGGGATCGTGGGCGAAAAATAAACAATATCAAACAAAAAACCCAAAATGATCAAACATGGTAGAACATCCTCCCCTGACCATTTTTTTTAACTATTTCTGAATATTCCCCCTGTAGAGGGGCAGGCCCGACTTAAAGGTAGCGATAAACCCCCCCGTCGCGATGTTTTCACCGCGCGAAGGTCTGGGCCCCCCTCCGAATCGCCTCTCCGCTCCCGGCCAGGCCACTGCCCGGGGCCGGGATCGGCGCGCACGGTGCCTCCCTGGCCAGGCCGGGGAGGCGTGCGCACAGAGCCCCGGCACAGGGGGGGGGCCGGCCAGGCTCGGAGGGGGGCGGCCGCTTGGCGTCCCCCGAGCCTGTCGAGCTCCTCCTGCTGGTTGAGCCTCTGGCGGGGGGAGGGAGAAGGAGGAGGAGGAGGAGGAGGAGGAGGGAGGCAGGAGGAAAAAGGAAAAGGAGGGGGGCAGGAGGAAGGAGGAGGAGGGAGGGAGGGAGGTGGAGGGAAGAGGAAGGAGGGAGGCAGGAGGGAAAAGAAGGAGGGAGGAGGGAGGAGGAAGAGCGAGGAGGGGAGGAGGGGGCAGGAAGGAGAAAAAAGGAGGGGGAGGGAGGAGGGAGGAGGAGGAGGGGGAGGAGGGAGAGGAGGAGGAGGAGGGAGGAGGGAGGAGGGAAGGATGGAGGGGGAGGAGGGAGGAGGAGAGAGGAGGAGGAGGAGGAGGAGGGAGGAGGAGGAGGAGGAGAGGAGGAGGAGGAGGAGGAGCAGGAGGAGGAGGAGGAGGAGGGAGGAGGGAGGAGGGAGGAGGAGAGGAGGAGGAGAGGAGGAGAGGAGGGAGGAGGGCTTGCTTATTCGGACTTGCTGGAATTACTCCGGCACGCGGACCGATTTAACACCCCAGTGTGGACAATCAACCGCTCTGGTGGGCCTACGGCTGCCGCACCAGGGGTGTCGGAAGTCGCCGCGTTGCGGCCCGTCCTCCCCCCAAGAGGATGACGAGGGAGTGGGGCAGGCAGGGGGGGGGGGCGGGCGAGGACGACCACCGACCCCGCGCGGCGGGCGGCGAGGCGGGCGGCGCTTGCGCCCGCTCACCGCGTGGGCAGGCGATGGCGCGCCACGGGGGGGGAGGGGGGCAGTTGGGGGAGGGCGGCAGGGAGCGGCGCCGAGGCAGGGGGCGATGGGCCTGTTTGGCACGGAAGTCGTGGGTGTTTTTTTGCCGAATGCTAACGAACTCAGCTGAAAACCGCTCGGGACATTCGCCGTGCCTTGGCTCCCGAGGCCTTGCCCCGGCGTTGTCACAGCGCCGCCTGAGACTCCGCCGCGGCTGGGGCAACGGGGGGGGGAAGGGGGAGTGTAGGGGGGGAGAGGACGCGGGGCGTCGGGAATTGCGGCTACGACGCTGCCTGAACTGGCGGGCCCCGCGGGAGTGGGACAGGGGGGGCGCCCGACCGCGCCCTCCCCCCGCGCGCCCCGCTCCCCCGCCGGGCGCGCCAATGCGGCAGCGCGGTGGCCGTAGTTCCTGCCCCTGCCCGCCCCCCCGCCCCCGCGCCGCACCCTGGCAGGGTTTTTCACAGCGGACCCGCGCCGAGGGCGTGCGCCGCAGCGGCAGCGATCGCGCCGACCAGGCGCACCTTCGGCTCCAGCTTGCCCGGGTCCGCATTTTCGCTCAGGGCCCACACCAGGAGCCCCTCGGGCATGGGCGGGCGGTGGGCGCGCGCCGCCTCCTGCAACCCGTCGACAGCGGTGCAAGTGGCCAGAAGGTGCTGCAGGTGGGATCCATTCCGCCTTGATCGTCTTGGTCCTGGCTGGCCCCAGCCTTCCAGCATGCGCCAGACGCCTGGCACCCAGCATGGCCTATCTGTCCATCAACTCCTGTACCGTAGTAACCAGCGTCTGGTCCCAAGCCAATTGCTAGCGTATCTGCGTCTGTAGCCGACTCCATAAGTAGTTCAGCCCTTGCCCAACACGCCACCCGACGCGCACAACCAGAAAAGGACCGAACAAGGAACCCACGCGGCTGGTCCATCACCACCAAGTCGGCTTGAACTTCTTTAGCGGAGAATGGGAGCGCCACTGGCCGAAGCGTGCGAATAAAGTAAACCTCATCCACAACAGGTGTAGCAACCAAGCCCCCAACGTTCTCGCAAGCCGAGAAATCGTCCATCATAGGTTCCTTCCCATCAGGCGGTCTGCACGTCGTCGCATTCGGCACAAGGAATAGTCCTCTCACCCTTTCAATCCAAGCAGGGTCCTCAGCGGCAGGCGCGGCCCTGGTGATATTGAAATATCAGCCCACTACTCAGTCGCATCCACCAAAGTTGAGCTTGGTAAGATACTCTTCCAGGATCTTCAGCGATCTCACGTTCTCGTCATTCATGCCAACCGCGCTCACCAGATACACTGTGATGCACACGGTACCACTCTTTGTACCCCGGAATATGTGGGCAGCCATGATTCGCCCAGCTTCCTAGATCCAACGTTTATGCAAAGGCGGATTCGTGATGACGATGCCGGTCTTGCACAAGATCGCCAAACCTCCAGTGCCTCCCTTCGGCGGGCACCACAGTCTGTGATAACCATAATCCTTCGCCTGCTCCTGAAGATCGGGAATGCGATCCTCATCCGCATGAAGTTCCGGGGATAGGGTCCAACGACCATGCCTCTAACGACTCCTGCACTCTCGACTGTGATGTGATATTGGCAGTGATGATCCATCCTTTCAGTGGTATCACCTTTTCCTTGTCGCAGTATCTGTCCCTGCTGTCTGTGATTGCCATCGTTGTCCTCGTCCTCGTAGTCTTCTCCTCGAGGTCTCAGACTATCAAAATCTGGAGAGCGATCTTGGACGAGCTCGCGAAACATTTGCTTCAGCTCCGCCAGCGCACCCCAATGGTAATCCACCGTCGCTCTGCGAGTACTGTGTATTACACTTCCAACATATCGAAAGGAAGCACAACGCCCCGGCTGCGCCATATGATACACGTATTCGCATACATATATATATATATATATATATATATATGCTCCCCCCCCCCTTAGGGACCTACCGTTTTTGTTTGTTTCTGGCTGTCGCACCGTAAACCCGCCGCTGCTGAGATCCCCATGGCAGCCGAACAGGATTCTAAACATATTCCAATATGATTTAAACAGGTTCGGTGAGCTGGATATGCCTTTTAGGCTTGATCGGAATAACACTATGACCCACATCGGAACGGAGCATCGGTCAGAGCCAAATGGTTACTATCGAGCCCGAAGAACGCCGCAGCGAGACTTGCATGAGAAACCCCGCGATGACGTGATGCCGTGTTCATGACAACGTAGCACAGAATATGCAATGGCGCGGTGGCGGTGACATGATTGGTTCGCAAGCAGTGCGCCCCGTCTGGGTTCCAGACATCATTGGTATTCGTTTTGAACTGCCTACCGATATCCGTAGGAGCACGCAACGGAAAGCATCCGTGGCAGAATCCCCACACAGTGCAGGCGCACCAACCCAAGCCGACCCCACACGTCTGCCGCGGCAGACTATGCATACTGTACATTGCGCTAAATATGTTGCACTATGCGCACCGAATTCGCTCAATGGTCGCCGTCATTGTGCCAACATAGAACCCCCGCGTAATGGGTCGCACTGCCCCTGTCTAACCCAGAACGCCCGCCGCGGGCCGATCACGCCACCAGCACGTCGCGCATGATGTGCTGCACCATCTCCCCCGTCTTGGCCCACATGTCGTCGTCCTTGTGCCAGTAGTCGTACTGGGCCGAGCGGATCTTCGTGGCGAGCAGCTTGGTGCCTGCCTTGGCGGTGGCGCTCCTGTGCAGGCGGTCCTTGATGAAGCGCCACGCACGGTCAATGATCTGAGTGCCGCTCTTGACTTCGAGGTGCTTGCCCGATGGGAGTACGCGCGTCTGCAGCTCGACGCACCCGGGAGGAATCAGCACCCTCTTGCCGCCGACTTTCTTGTACTTCTTCTGGTGGACAGCGAAATCGTGGATGACACCTGGCACGCGTAATTTGTAGGAACGCGCCGAGTCAGCGCGAAAGACGACGTCGCGGTCTTTCAGCCAACGCTCCGCCAGGGGTTTCCACTCCACCTTGCGCACGGCCCCAGGGCCAGGCGCCCGCTTCGCCGCCATCTCGGGGCACAGTCTCGTAAGTGTCAGCGTGCGCGGCCTGCCGCGCTGCACAATGCCCAACCACTGCTCCCACATGACGGTGTGAGTTGGGTATCCCAGAGGCTCGGGCCCGTCGGTCATGTCCAGCTTGCCGAAGGTCGCCTCGACAGCCTCCACGTCTGCCCACACCTTCGACCCACTATATTCAATGGTCGGCCCCACGTCCTCCACGTACATCATCCGCGCCTGCTCCACGTTACTCCAGATCCGCTCCACTGCCCTGTGGTTGACGCCGAACATGACGCGGGCGGTCGCGTGGGAGGTCTCCGCGAGCTTCTCCAGTAGAAGCACTGCCTGCTTCTGCAAGCTCTCGGCGCGCGAGTGTTCGCTGAAGATGGGGTTCAAGTAGACAGGGGACACGTGCCTCTGGCAGCACTTCGCATCGCATCGGTGCAAGACGCGGTTGCCCTTGTGCGGGCGGGCGACTAACTCCCCGAGCGCGCCGCGCCCGCAGATGGGACAGGTCGCCCCAGTCCAATCGACGAGCAGCTTGTCCTCCCGCAAGATGTTCACGATCTCCACGTCAGACGCCGCCAATAGCTCTAGGACTGTGCGATTCCACTTTGCTTGTTCGCGGCGCAAGCCCCTGCCAGGCGTCGCGTTCTTCTCCCTGACGTACGGCACGTTCTTCCAGTCCTTGGTCTTGGTAGCAGACGGGCGCTTGAGAACCATCCGAAGCTTGCCCTTTTTGGGGGCGACGCCCGAACGTCCTCCGACGGCAGCGGCGGGGCGACGGTGGACGGCCATCCTCGGCTCCTGGCGCGATAGCACGGGCGCGGCAATGCGCGAGAAGCGCAGGCACCTGCGGCTCTGGCTGCCGACTCGGCCAAGAAACGACTGCGGCGATGGCGACAGTCCGACGGGGAGGACGATCGGCCGTTCATGCTCGATCGAATAACCCTGTGGGCGTCGCATGGTACCTCATGGAATGCAGTTGGAATTGGTTGGCATTGACACCCGAGAGGACGCGAGACCATGCCGATTGCAACATCACCCCCGACACAAGAAAAACTGAAAGGCACGCGTTGTGTGAGACGCGGCACTGACAAGGCGCCAGAGCGCCTTAGATTTAGCAGAGTCGACCCACCAACAGTCCTGACTGCACGCGATGGCGCGGTGGTCGTGCGATTATTGGTTTCACTGGCCGTGCGCTGCGAGATGATAAGCCTCGGAGGCAATCGAGCACCTGTATCTGCCATATCCTCTGGCGGCGCCAAT